CACACACACACACACACACACACACACACACACACACACACACACACACACACAGAAGCATTAGGGACAGACGCAGGGCGAGACGAACGCTGCAGATGCGAGGCTGGACACTTCACCGTGTTTGAGGAGCGACGGAGGAGGAAGACGGGAAATCTATTCGACCCTGGGTTGACCTCTGTCGTGTCCTGGCTCTAATGAAGGGATGTAAACACTGATGAGCCTGATGGTGTGTGCGTCCCCTGCAGCACGAGTAACGACCCCCCCGGTCCCTCTGTAATGCACTGCAGCAGCTTTATTACTCGGAGCATCAAAGCGACTCCCGCGGCACGCATTAAGGAGCGAGTTGATAATCTGTGAGAAGGCAGATGAGAGCTGCAGGCGCCAGACGTGTCGCTGTGTCTCTAACATTCAACTGAAAGTTTGCTCAGTCTGAGTGCTGACCAACAATTGTCCATCATCTCAGCAGTCTGACCCATTATGCATGGAAACCATCCATGATAAATCACCGTCATTAAGAAGATCAAAACCGTTGATAAGATCGGCAGATGGTTGCTAGGGACTCTTATCACAGACCGTGGAGGACTAAATGAGTCGTATCAATCAGTGGAAAGTAGTCCAGTTATTTAGCATTGATCTGTTTACTGTCGGAAAAAGAGAGAGGAGATAACAACTAAGCAAAGGGGTTAAAAGACGTTACAACTGAGAGACAAAGAAAACGACTAAACTAAAGATGGCACATGAAGTAAACATGTAAGGTAGCATGCTTTGGGATACTGCTGCGTTTAAAAATACTAAAGGGAAAAGAAAACGTCAACAGACTCCGACATGACGAGGCAGAAAAAAGTGCTGCGCTGATTCATGCAGATCAAATCTTCACTTTAAAGGGAGAGCTGTTAAGTTTTAATGCGGGGTGGTATGACATACTTGTCAACAGTGGGTACATTCACGTTGTTGATGTCCGACACTGAAAGTGGACGCACGGTTCATGCGGATAAGTGATTAACTGTGAGAGCAGAGCGATGGTCTGACAGAAGGTCTGGAGAAACTAGTGATGTCCTGCTGCTCGACCTGGTCCACTCATGAGACATGATCATGGGTGGCGCCTAACCTAGTGGTCAGTTTGGGCGCCCCATGTACAACGGCTTTGGTCCTTAAAGAGGACATATTCTCCCCCTTCACCTTTTCAAACAGTCCCCTGTGGTCTAAATTAAACATCTGTGCTGTGCTTTGATCAAAATGTAACATGAATCAAGCACCAGAGGAGGTTTGTGAACCTGTATAAACCAGCTCTCTCAGAACGCTCTGTTTTAGTGTGTGTGTCTCTTTAAATTCAATGAGCGTTTTCCCAGTAGACATCACTCCTCTGTAGTGAGAATAAAAATGGCGGATCCGCGTTAAAGTTTTGTTCTAGGCTGGGGGTGGAGTCCATGGGTGGAGATACCAGGGGAGGGGAGGGGATTTTTTGATTTTTTGATTTTTTGATGTCACAAGGAGAGCACATTTGAAACGGAACATTTTTCTCTGTGTTGTAAGACTTATGCAGACCACAAACAAAGGACTGGATGGGTTTATTTCACATTTTGTGGGTCAGTAGACACTCAGGTTACCCAAATATATGTTCAAAAACACTGAAGAAGTGGATCTTTTATAATATGTCCCCTTTAAAGTGGGCAACCCATGTTTGAATTGGCTCCTTTTCTCTCTCTCTCTTCCTGACTCTAATCACTGTCCTGTCAAATAAAGGAAAAAAGTCCAAAATTAAACCTTAAGACAAAAGAAGCATTTGTTGCGGTTTAATAAAAAACCGGAGTCTCATGACATCACAAACTTCACTGCTTGTCACTGTAAAAGTTCTGCCTCACATTTTATTAGTTGTTAAAAAAAATCACATATAAGGACATTTTATTGACAATATTTTAAGTGTTTCTGTCAGAAGATAAATCCAGCAAGTCGCTTTTTCCTCAAAAAACCTCTGTTCCTTTTTTTATTACAGCAACATAAAAACACGCCCGTCCTGCTGAGATACAAACACGGAGCTCCGCCTCTGCAGCCTTCGACCCATCATTCTGTGAGCGGCGGCATTAGAGGACCGGCGGGGGTCGTTTCCACTCACACCGACATAATACCTGCTGCTGTGTTTGTCACTTCACTAATGAAAACTCTTCTTCATACAGGCAGCTGGTCTGAGACACACACACACACACACACACACACACACACACACACACACACACACACACACACACACACACACACACACACAGAGTAATGACTGATACGAGGCGGCACGTGGAGCCTCGTGAGTGCGGCTGTTATTGGCGAGCGGAGCGGTTTTATTTCAGTTCATTTCTGGTTATTGACATTTCACAGAAAGCTGAATAAAAAAAGCTGCGGCCTGTTTATGGAGAATATCTTTGTGTTACTGGTTATTCTGCTGTTCGTGCCCGTGTCCATTGACACCGTCTGTCGTCCTGTTTTCTTTACAAACCGATGCAGCTCAGCGTTTTCAGAGCTCGGCGTCCTGATTGCAAAAACGTCGCCCAGTCAGAGCGGCCGCAGCTGAAAATGGTACAACTTTTTGAGCACGTTCGTCAATGTCGCTTCTCCTTCAACAAACAATCAAAATCTGTATGTTGTGTTTTATTTTGAAATTGACCGGACGCTCTGTGCGTTTCCTTGTCTGACTTCCTGTCCAGCTTGTCGCGTTCCTGCAGCGTACTCCGTCGAAAATAGACTTGCAGCGTATTTGAAACGGAGCAGAGTGTAGTGGCGCTGGTGGCACGCTCCGGAGACAGACCGCGGCGCTCGCTGTGTGAACACAATGATTGACAAGAGTGGCTGCAAACTACGGCTTAGAGCGCGGCGCTGCGGGATTATGTGGAAATCTGGGGTTATGATCCATGTCCACAGACGGCGGTTTTTGCACCAACAGCGGCGACAACCTCCTTCAACCGCTTCTTACCAGCGCTCATTGTTGCTAGGTTACCAAAGTAAACCTCTGCCACCCCCCCCCCCCCTATGTCCGTTAGGTGTTTAATATTTGCTTTAATTCAAAGAGAAAAAATAAAGACGATGTAAAGGAGTCGTGTCCTGACAGCAGCTCTTCCTGGAAACTTGAATTCAAACAGATAACGGATTCATTTCTCGTTAATCCCCCGAATAAGAGATCGACGCTCGCTGTTCTGCGATGCCCTTCATGTCATCTTTGTGAGGAATCCCTGTTTGCTCAATGAGAAGCTGAACAGTCGTTTTAGAAATGAGAAATGTCTGTGATCAGTGTGTAGCAGGTGGAGGATGAAGACGCTTCACATTGTGACCTTTGGGTCCTTTAAACCTCTCAGACTTCCCTCCCCTCTTTTCTTTGTATCCTCTCTGCAGACTCAGTGGTCTGCTGCTCTGCTGTTTGATTTCATTTCTGTGTTTTTCTTTTCTTCTTCTTTCCTGTCAGCAGCGTCCTTATCGCCGCCCTTCAGCGCTGCAGCTGCATCATCTCTGCTGCAGTCTGCACTCCCAAACAAGGACGGGTCCGGGACGGGACAAAACACCTTCGACACGTTTAATTCCACTTTTTAACCTGATGTGTGCAATATCTCGTGGTGTGCACATTCTCAGGATTAGTGTCCTTTTATGGATGTTTTTGATGACAGAATAAGAGACGCTGCAGCTGCATGTTTTACTCTGTCTGACCAATAACCAGCACCTCTCATTCAGTGTCTCTTGCGTTTGTGTTTCCTTATTTATTCTTTTTAACACAGCATTTGTACCTAAGGGTGTGTTAATTTGTATTCTTTATTACCAAAATAAAAGCATGCTTATTTCAGAGCATAATAGACCTGGCCTCTGGATCCTGCTGCACACGGAGGATAACTGAGTCTCCAGCTCTTGTAAATAGAGATGGGACCGATCCGATCTTATATCGGTATCGTACGTATTTTAAATATGGGATATCGGACTGGCAGTGCCGATATCATGAAAGATGGTTGGTCACTTTAAACAATCTCAGCTCACACCGTTTCTCTTTGAAGACGTTCAGACTGAAGTATAAGAAGTGTCCACAAATCGTCTCCATGACGACATTCAGACGAGATCGAACAGCCTCTTCTATATGATCAAAAAGTACAACTCTTACACTTCAGTTTGTTGACGGTTGTTGCTGCTTCCTGTTTGTTTGTGAAGCGTAAACTCCATAGGGGCGTAGATATGGCGCCTTGAATGGGACGTCTGAACTGGGCTAGAAACCTGCATTCTATGTAATGGCCAGCAGGAGGAATCCTCACCGGTTGCACAAGAGGGAATCTTCCTACTTTTCGGTTCCCTCAGTGAACATTTTTCTTAATTAGTGTGCAGCAAAGGGCCGAGATCGGATTCCAACCAACGGCGCCGCGATGAGGACTACAGCCTCCGTACATGGGGTGCATGACATAACTGTTAGGCTATCAGGTATTAGCCATCTTTTTATGTTTTGACATCATCAGCACTGTAGAAGTGAAACAATGTGGGCATGTGCATGTTATTTTATAACAAAGTGACGTCGCCGACTGCTGGCCTGGCATGTGAACTACAGCATGTTTTGCAGATCCCTATGCACAGCGGTTGTTATCAAAATATTGTCAATGCTGAACCTTTTTTGAAAACGTAAATAAAAAAACTGCTCTTTCTGCATGTTCACAATCTGCCGTGTAACTGTAAAAGAAATGCTACATATCACACTCCCTCTCTCTCCCTCTAATACACAGGCTCTCTCTCTCTCTCTCTCTCTCTCTCTCTCTCTCTCTCTCTCTTCATTCATTCAGAGCTCAGCCTGCAGCAGCAGCACACTCCACTGTTACTATTTCAGTCAAACTGCTTTAATGCCTTTACACACTCAGTACAACACAGAGAGGACACACACACACACACACACACATTCTCACACACACACACACACACACACACACACACACACACACACACACACACACACACACACACACACACCATTAGCAGCAGCATGTGGCTTCGCTCTCTCTCTCTTAAACGCACACAGAGGCTTGCTCGCCCTCAGTCGGCGGGCTGGGTGTGTGTTGGACGGAGCTCTGAGACAATCAGAAGGAGCTGAGAGAGCAGGGATGAGGATGAAGATGAGGAGGACGACAACGAGCGGCGTAGACCTGGAATAAAAACTCCTGCACAGCGTCTGATTTCAGATTCAGCTGTTTAAAAAAGGACAGAAGCTTCGGCGACTTCAAATCAAGACGAGTTTCTGTCCTTGAAGACAAGTCCGCTCCGATTTGACAGACAAATCCAGATTTTTCTTGTTTTCGTTTGATGACAGAAGAGTCTGGGTCGTTTTTCCCCCCCATCTCGTTCTGTGCCGGCTGCAGATGAAGCAGGAGAAGAACAGTTTGTGTGTTTTCTCTCTCTGTTCGGAGGCTGAAGCAGCAGAGCAGATGGTGAGCGGCGTGTGTGTGTCGATACTGAAAGCACAATAATGAGCATGTGCCTTTAAGAGTGTGTGCACCTCAATGTGTGTGTGCATGTACAATATATATTGTCAGTAAATGGACCCTCCTGCAAACACATTTTATTGTACTTTGGTCTGTTTTCCTCACACAAATCTTAAAAAGTGTAGCGGACCAGCAAAGCTTATTTAACATGACGATGAGTGGTTTTATCGACTGAATGTCAAAGAAAACTAAAACCATCTCATACCATCTTCTAGTTCCCTTCATCCTGACCAGCAGTATAAAACTTACTGAATTTCAAATCTAAGTGTCCAGTCAGTCTCCTGTAGTTGGACTCCTTGTTGTTGTAAATTGATGTGCAGACATCAGCTTTCAACAGTTTTCTGTGCACGTGACATTCCTCCCGTGCAGAGATGAAGCTCTATACAGAAAAGATGGTTTTGTTCGGATTATACTGAAATGTCCCAACATTTGATCTGATCCCACACACCAGTGATGGGACACGTTGACCTTACACGATCTCTGTAGGCTCATTCCAGCAGCTTTGCAGATCTTAGCCCCGTTAGTACGAACATGCCGCCGTTTGCTCTAGTCAATGATTGTGTTTCCACAGCAAGCGTCGCGGTCCGTCTCCGAAGCGTGCCAGCAGCGCCAGAATGCTCTGCACCGTTGAAAATACGCTGCAAGTCTATTTGCAGGCATGCAGCTGGACAAAATTGAACGGCCCAAACCGGAAGTCAGACAAGGAAACGCACAGAGCTTCCGGTCAATTTCAAAATAAAACACAATATAGACTCACGATCTCCATCACTTTAAAGACATTACATCAAAATGCGAACCAAGCGAATAACTTAGCAACCTCATTTGTATCGTATCGTATCATCTTGTACCGTCCCGTATCGAGTGAGTTCACTGTGATTCACACCCCAAATCCAAAAGTCTCTACTTCTGTCCCTGGGTGTTAAACTTAAATGTAGGAAGTGTTAGATAAAGTCTCGGTTTGAAGGGTTCTGTAGCGCTGGAGTAATTTGGATGCCGGGTGTAAACATGTTTCAAACCCGTTAAGAAAATGAGAGAAAGAGTTTGTGTGGAGACATATTGAAGCCTCGTTTTTGTAAAGATATGTATTCCTCTATCACTATCGCTGGTGTCTTAAGATGTTGAAATATTTTTGTCCCTGTTCAGTAGAAGTGCATGTTGGTGCTTTTATTAGAGACTGAGAGCATGTAGGAGTGCGTTCTTGTTTACTTCTCCGTCCCTGCTCATTGAGGATGCTGCAGTCTATCTCTGCTCTCCTCTTCTTGCTCTAAACGCTCAGCTGAGTCGCTCTGAGGCTGTTTGAAGGAAAAGTGCAGCCGCTGGGGGGTTGAGGGGGAGGGGGGGGGGGCCTGTCTGTCAGAGGCCATTAAGCAGCCAGCAGGACACCACGTTAAGAGCCCACAAAAGCAGAGCGATGCGCTGCAGATGAAGCAGGGAGCATCACAAATGGCAGAGTTTTACATCGAGGTAACAATCCATCACGAAAATAAAAGGCGGCTTTTAGTGCTTCTTTTAACGGAGAGGCTGAAAAAGTGAACCTGGAGCGTGCTGCGTTGGATTCCTAAACGCTCAGGAGAACTTTGTCACCTCGTCCATGTGTGAAAAAGTTTTATGTTTATGTAAAAATGCATCGCATCAGAGTTCGTCCTTTGTAGACGATGAAATCCACAGATTCTTTGTGACATCTTTCTTGAATTGTTGCTCTTCGTTCCAGCGCAGTCTTTCATAGAGTCTTGAACTCCTCTTCATCTCGACCTCAGAGAGGCTGTTTTTGTAGAAACTAGCTCAGCAGAGCCTGTTGTTCTGCAGAATAACCACCGACTGGCATACTGTCCAACGCAGTATGCAGTAGGCGATTCTTCTGGTTCTTTTATTTCTTTAATGAAGATGTTTTTTTGGGCACTTTTTCCTTCACTTGAGAGGACAGCTGAAGAGAGACAGGAAACATTTAGAGGAGAGAGAGGGGGGATGACCTGCAGCAAAGGGCCAAGGTCGGATTCAAACCCACAGCCACTGCAACACGCGTCAATACATGGGGCGCGCAGCATAACCACTTTCCTATCAGGCACCCCTGGGAGGTTCTTTTTATACCCAAACATGTTACCAGTTAACCTCACTAACTATGAGATGGTTCATGTGGTATTTTAGAAAATATGTTGATGGTTTCAAATTCAAAAAATTTTGATTTGTCCAAAAACAATGAATTATCTCAGTTTCTACATTATATGTGTTTTTTTGTGTTATACTAAATCAAGCATCTGGATTTAAGGGTTTGAAAATCTTCACTTTCTGTTTTTATTCACATTTTATCAGACGTCTCGACTCTCTAGGAAACAGGGTTGTATGATAACTAACTGTTGTCTGTGTAGGTTTTCAGTCATCCAGGTCAAAGCTTGATCCAAAGGCAACTGGACTGGTTGAAGATCCTGAACCAGTCCAGTAGCCTTTGGATCAAACTTCAAATAACTAACTGTCCTTCTCTGATCAGGGGAGTGAGTTCAGAGTTGGAAACATAAATATAAAATGTCTACTACCCGATATACAATCAGAAACATCAGCAGCAACAACAAAGAGCGCCGTGCTGTGTTCAGTGTTTCCCTCCAAGAAGCTCTGAGATGATGAAGTCATCATCAGCTAACATGTGAAGAGTTTCTGTTTTAACTACAGCGTGCTCCAAAGCAAAGTCCGAACCCAGCAGCAGATGTGTAATGATGACATAACAGTAAAAACAGAGGGGGGGGGGTCGTTTGTGCTGACACCATCTGGACGTCCAAACAGTCGTCTGTTCTTGCTCAGGGATTGAAAACACATTTTTAATCTGTAACCCGCCGCTGTGTGGGCGGGGTCTAATCTGTCTGATGGTGCTTTTGACAGGCTAACAAACGTCATCACAGTCAAACAGTGATGACGCAAAACAACATTTATCTTCTGTAAGTTTGGGAGCGATTCTTAGCTGCCATCACAGGAGAGCATACTCCCTGCTTCTTTAAAAGAACAAAACACGTAAAAGAAGCACGAAGCAAGACGCCTAACCACACTTAAAAGTTGAAACCAGGCGTTGCCCGAGTGAGCCTGCTGATAATCCTTCTCCATCTTTAAAGACTATCCAGGACAAAAACAAAGTAACTTCCAAACTCACACGTTTCCTTTACTGAAGACAGAGCTATGTAACTTTCCCCGGCCTCAGAGCGTGGGTAGACTCTGCGTTCCACTGATACACCTACTGGGTCAACTTTGAGTTTAGGTGAATCTGACATCTTGTCGACCTACACCCAGCAGCGGCCGAGCTCTCTGTGCTATCCTTAAAAGTCAGGAGTCTAAAGAAAGAGCTGCAGAGTAGTTCAGAGAGAGGAGACCAGAGAGACGCTGAATAGAAGGAGAGCAGCCGGGAGCCACTTCAGCTCCCATTAACAGAACATGACATTCAGACCTCCACGTAGGCTTTGTTGGGCTCCTCGTCTTTACGCTTGATGTGTTTAATGGTGCGTGTAAGCATGCAGCGGTGGGTGATGGGGGAGTCTAAATGTAGACGTCAGGAAGGACTCTGAGCTTTTTTATTGTTTAATCCTGTCTGCAGGATTATGTGATGAGAGATCCAGTTTTGCAGAAAATCCTCCCTGATGTTGAAAACGTGAAACACAATTCATCATCCACTTGGTGACAGAGAGGTCAAAGGTCATCCTCTTCATAGGACATCATCAGGCTGCAGCATTAGAGGATATTGTGACTGACAGCTGACAGTCAACATCCTCCTTTGACTACACATAATTTTCTTATTTCTATTTATTCAAAGCAAGTCAGTATCATCCAAAACTGTAAATATTAATGGACGTGTTTGTAGGTCAAATGGTGAAAACGTGGACAACTCCACAGCTCGGTACACAATACATGCTGTCCCTGTAGCTTATTGTGATATCTGAAGGCAGAGGGGTATAGGGGTTTGATTTCTTGAGTTACCATTTTTTTTTATTTAGACGGTTTATTTTCTGGCTTTTTATGTCATATCCTGACTTCTGAAAGCTTCCCGCCTAACCAAAAAATGAGACTTATTAATGTTCAGAATCAAAAAGAGGAAATTAAACTAGACGATAAAGAGTCGACCTCCTGCAGGATCACGCCATGTTTATGTGTTTATGAGAGCGGCTGTGGCTCAGTTGGTAAGTCGTTGCCTCTCAACTGGAAGGTCAAGGGTTCAATCCCCAGCCTAGCAACATGTCAATGTGTCCTTGGGCAAGGCACTTAACCCCAAGTTGCTCCCACTGCTTCAGTGGTGGTGTATGAATGGGATTAGTTACTTCTGATGGATGATACTACATAGCAATCACTACCATAAGGGTGTGAATGGGTGGGTGTGACCTGCGGTGTAAAAGTGCTATATAAGCTCAAGTCCATTTAACTCTTTCGCTCTGAGAAACGTGTGAACGAGCAACTCAGGAAGGGGATTTCAGGGGAAGGCTGTCGGAAATGTTCTAGAAATTTCAGGAGTGCATGTGTGAAAACGACTATAGACATCTAATAAATGTCCAAGATGTTCTGAGACTTGCTAATAACGAATCACAAATCCAAGGTTTTGATGTCTGCAAAGAAAGACAGAAATGTCTCTGCAGATCCAAAGAGGAGCATGTGAAGGGAAAATGTTGCAGAGACTCAGGAGGTCAAAAAAAGCTTCTTGTAAGGGGGCGGATTAGAAATGAATGTGTTGATAAAAGAAGCAAATCCATACAGGTCAAAAGAAAACAAAAAACAGTCATACAAACATCTTTCTAACGTCTAAATATCTGGCAGCTGCTGCTCTTGTTCTAAAAGAGGAGAGTCATTCTGCAAAAACCAAAACAATCACGCTTTGGACTTTAAAACAACCGTTTCTGTTTTTCATGTGAGAGAGTCTCACCCTGCAAGTATCCTTAGTTTAAATATTAAGATTGTGACTGTCTTATAGAGCTTTCACAAGAACACTGAGTTCAATGAGTGCAGTGACTGAGGTTTGTGTACATAACAGTCAAAGGGTTCTCATTTTGAAAAGAGAAAAACAAAATCCCGAAAGAGAAGGTATTTTCTGCTCTTTTACATAAATGGAAACATCTGAATGTCTGTGATGTGCATCTGAATGGAAACCAAGAATTAAGATTGAATTGACAAAATGCAAACTTATTAGCATCTTGATTCAGAAACCATCAACGTTTAGGTAAGACATTCTCTTAACATATACATTAGAAAAGATTTGATTGTGATTGTCTTTTAAATGAGGCTCTGACATTGCACTTCTCACTTTTGGACCCTTGCTAATGTGACATGCTGTTGAATCTCCTCTGGGAGTCACATTAGCTTCTCCGTCCTCTACCTGCATTGGCATTTCGGCTGCTTTTTAATTTTTTTTTATATAATGTCAGTTGTGGCCTGAAGGCTCCCTCCTGCCTCACGCGGTCCCCAGTGGAGTGACTGCCATCATTGAGCCAACCTAACAAAAGAAGTAGCTGCAACAAAAGGAAGACCTTGAGGCAGCGTTTCTCTCGCTCTTTAAAGCAGCTGCAGACGCGTGATGGAGTGACAGCACTCCTCTCAGCTTTATCTCTCATGCACACTCTCCCTCTGCATATCTAAGAGCCTCAAACTGCCAGGGACATCTCGGAATGAAAATGAGGGATATAAAAAATGAACCATCATCAAAAAGTACAAACATCTCCCTTGATTGCACGTGTTAAACGGTGCTGACGCTGTACTCGATCTGCAGAATACAAGAGCAGCGAGTGGGCGTTGAGAGGAGAAAGTTGGCACTGACTTTTCCTCCGCTGTTGCTGGATGAAAACATGGAGGATTATTTCTCCTCATCATGAAGCTCCTTGTGTGTTCTCTGAAGAATGAAAAGGATTGAGGACAAGCGAAAGGCTGTGAAATACAGTGAAGCTCCGGCTCCTAATGCCAATATGCTGTAGATCAGCTCTGCCACAGGCTAAGCTGTTGATGTTTATTTATTTTTTTAATCAGAATGCACAGCATACCCCGCTTAATCTCGCGTATCCAGTTTCACATTTCATGGTGGCTGAGAGGTTTGAAAAATCTTCAGCCTGGATCCGTGGACTAGATGGAGAGCAGAACGAGGAAATCTTTTGTTTGATTCCAACATGAATGAAAGTAAAGCTGAAAAGGCGTAAAGTAGGAAAAGGATAATCCTTTAACGTAAGCCGGTAAAATGTCCATCTCATAACAAACACAGGTCGCAACGTAGCAGTGGCTGCTGGTGTGTTATTCTCCAGGGCGGGCAGAATCCTCTCAGATGGCTCGGGTTGTATATCTTAGTCTGTTAGCTTGATGCTAACACATAGTGGAAAAGGCCATTAACTGGCTAACACAATTAGCATTGCTGTAACTTACTTGACCTACTCAACAAACAACAGCATATGCACAGGCGTATGATTCCTAAACTTAAAGAAACTGCTGAGTCATGCTAGTATGGTCTGCTGCTTTTATCCAGTGACACTGCATGACTCGCTCTTTATGCCTCGGTTCATTTGGGCGTGTCCCTCTGCTGCCTCCTTCTGGGTGCATTGCATGAATTGCGGTAAATTTTCCAGAACATTTCTTGTTGCGTTCACACATTTTCCCAACCTGACTTCATGCAAAGTTTTACCTTGGGGCTGGCTGGAAAACTTCCAGGTGAAGTTGTGGGGAAAAATTCAGCTGTTTGCATTCACACATGCAGCTCATGACAAAGATTTTATTTCCTATCTCTCCTCAGTTGTCAAATAACAACCCAAAATTCCCAAAATATAATCTTAAAGTTTCATGAAAATACTCAGAAGACATTTGGTTTCTCTGTGAGGGTCACTAAGGATATCATTAAGACCGTATTTCTGAAGTCCAGATCCCAAAGTGTATTAAAACACTTTTGGAACCAGCTGCAGTTTTCACTTCACTTGAAGTAAAATCTCCATTTTGTGTCTTCCAGGAGTTTCTCCTCCGCTGGACGTTGGTGTGAACTGACAGAAGACAGAGAGAGCCAGATGAGAGCCTGAAGCCGCCGTAGACTGGAGGTGGCAGACATGAAGAACCAGGACCAGCATGGACGAAGTCACCTGGAGAGTCTGGGTCAGTCTGGACAGACGCTTCACCCTTTACACTGTAGATATTCACCCAAAGAGAGCTGGAATATTTACCCCATTTGTATGGGGTAGTTAGGAATCTTCATCCTTGTAGATCCAAAGTGTGGTAGTTTAGCAAACAGAGAACAATCTTTATTTGCTGGTTTTGTGACTTCTGCTATTGTTTTTGAGCTCAACTAAGTGTGTCAAAAAGTCGTCACAAAATATTCAAAATAAGAAATCTGACTGTTGACGACGGGACATTTCCTCAAACAGCACATCCATCTTGCTGCATCTTTTGATTGAAGTCCTTCAAAGTCTGAACTCATAGGCCATTGACAGACGACGATTAAACCTCTGATGGTGTGCGTCCTTAATTTAAAGATTGTGCTCCACTCTAGCCAACAAGGAGGATAGCAAAAACATGGCAGGGGTCTTTTGGCTTATTAGGATCTTGAGTTTTATCATTTTTAATTTTGTTTCTCTTGTCTTTCAGTCTGGTCGGCTCTGTGCAGTCTGGTGTTGGTTCTGCTGGGACTGCTGGGCTCGGTCCACAGCTGTCCTGGTGTCTGCACCTGCTACGGTAACACCACTGACTGCTCTGCTGTCGGCCTCATCTCTCTGACGCCCATCCTTGCACTGCTGGACCACGACTCTCTGATCCTCCGCCTGCCCCAGAACAACCTGTCTTCCCTGGGAACAACTGAGCTGTCCAACCTCAGCAGCCTGGAGCTCCTGGATCTCTCCCAGAACCGCTTCTCCGCCCTGCAGCCTGGAGCCTTCTCAGGCGTCAGCGGGTTACGCTGGCTCAATCTCTCTGCTAACTACCTCGGAGTGCGACTGGTGACCTCTGACCCCAACAACAGCACAGAGGTCTCTCAGAGTTTGAATGGAAGTCAAGGGAGCGTTGGACTGAGCAAGGAGGTCTTCCAGGGGCTGTGGCGGCTACGAGGGCTCGACCTGTCCTCCAATGGGCTTCTGTGGGTGCCCAAAGGTCTGCTGGATGCACTTCAGAGACTCTCCTGGCTGTCTTTAGCCAGCAACCGGCTCGTAGCCCTCGACAGAGTCACCTTCGAGCCCCTGGTGGGGCTGCAGCAGCTCCAGCTAGCGGGGAATCCCTGGGAGTGCGACTGCAAGCTGCGGGACTTTAAACACTGGATGGAGTGGATGATTTACAGGGGTGAGCAGAGCTGTTAGCAGGCCTCTCCACATCTCAAATACTCTCAAGTTGATAGTTTTTGGCAGTCGGCTCAGAGGCCTCTAAAGCTATACGAGAGCAAACTGCTTTGTATTTTTTGTCTGCACTTCAAAAGCTGTCTAATCGAAGCAATTAATCTGCGCTCTGCAGGATGGATGTGTGCTGAGCAAAGACATCTAAGAACATAATGACCTCCATCTCTCTCAATCCTCCCCTGTCTCTCCCTGTTTGCTTCCCGATCCTTCATTCTCCTCTTCCTCTCTTTTGTAGATGGCCAGGTAGATGCGATGAAGTGCAGTCTCCCGGGAAATCTGAGGGGGAGGGACATCCGCAGCGTGCCAGCCGAGATGTTCAACTACTGCCTGCAGAGTCCGACCAAAGAGGGCGCGCCGGGTTACGCCACCCGGCCTCCCTGCCCACCCGGCCGGATCAGCAGCAATGACGAATGTATTCGCCAGCGCTACAGGCCTGTCAGTGTCCGGCGAGCACACGGCACGCAAATAGTTGCGGGAGTGATCTGCGGCACGGTGTGCGTCATGATGGTGGTGGCAGCGACGTACGGCTGTGTCTACGCCTCGCTGATGGCGCGGTACCAGAGGGACATGAAGAACCGCGGTCAGCCTCTGATGGCCGAGTCTGGAGCCGACACGGACATCGAGGATGGGCAAACGCCATCTCCAACCTCGCCGGGAGACTCGCCGCCGAAAGAGGCCTGCGGCATTGTACACGGGTATCGAATCAGCAGCTTCTGACCGGCTGCTTTCCACTGATTTGAGATCCTCCTGAGACGTTCTCGCCGCTTCTGCTCCTCAGCTCTCATCACTGATGAGACGACGTCTGCAGAGAGGATCCCTGCAGCGCTGTGATTGGGCGGGGACTGATTGTTCAGCTAATGGACCGGACTGGATTCAGAGAGAGGGGAACGCTGCGGCACTTCTTTTAATGTATGGATGCTCTGTGAATTGTTACTCCCCGTACTGCATCTCACAGCCAGCTCCTGAACTCTCCTGTGAAGCTGCTGTTTGGCACTTCTGCACCTTGACTTCCCTTCATCCGTCATTTTGTTCCTTCTTTAGAAATATGAAACTTCCTTTTCGTTCAGGCAGTCCATCTTTGTATCTGAGCCCGACAAGCACAAGCCCCAAAAGTACAAACGTCTTTGAAAATGTGAACTCTCTCCCGTTGTCTGCTGCACACATTTGTTTTAGTCCTGATCATGTTTGTGTTTCTGTGTTATCTTTAAAACTCCCCTACTTTGAGAAATGATTACTCACACTTCTTTATCTTGACGCCCGGTTGAATTCCCTTCAATCAACAATAACTTTTTTTAGACAACATTAGAGCTCTGCTGCTTTCAGGGAAATGCTGCTTTAAGATTCATCACTGAGGTGCAAATGCATTCAAACAATACTACAGCTGTACTGCCACCTAGAGGGCAGGCTTTGAGCTACAACAGCGTTCAACCCAGCACAAACAAACAGCTAAGATAAACTATTATTCCCAGTAGAAAAAAAAGATGACATGTTATGATTCATTCTGTTGATATTTTCTGTGATAAGCACTTCAAACGTTTCAACTTTAACTCAAGGACTGTTAACCACGCTGAGGATAATAAACTATATTTATCTAATGTCTTCTTATTTCCTTCTTAGAAGTCTAAGATTCAAGACCTCTCACAAGTAAAAACACTTTTGTTATGTAACCTATCAGCTCCGCTGCCATTACGAAGATGGAACAAACACACATCTGGTGGAATTTCGGCTTTAGCCTTCACAGTGAGTGTTTATGTGGACAGGGATGGAGTCAAACTCCAGGCCTGACTTATATACCCCCGGCTCTTACAGTCGACTTCTATCAGCAGACAGTTGATGAAAGGTGATCCAAAAACAGAGCAGTGAATAAATCGGCACAACGAGCTAAAAACAACCACAACATAGCCCAGAAGACGTCACCTCCGCTCGTCACCTCGGTCAGACTTTAAAACGCTTTAATGCTCGAGTGTTTTCAGAGACTCACCTCCAGCCATGGCCGTCCTTCCTTCAGATGAAACGGTCACTGACGTTGTCGCCAACATGTACTGCACTCCTGTAAAGAAAAGATCATTTGATTTGTTTGACCTTTATCGAGCCAGGTTGGTCCCGTTTTTAGAAGGAGACCAAGACGAGAAGCAACACAGATTTTAAACAATCACATCCACATGATGAGTTTAAGAAAAGATAAACAATGAAATAAGAGGAAAGATGAGTTTCTGCTGCAGAGTCAGACCTTTGTCGTTGACGGGGTAGTAGAAGAAGCTTCCAGGAGAGTTCTCCATGGCGAGGCGGTACCAAGAGGGAAGTGATCCATGGTGAACAGGTTATCTTTATCAGACACAGTCAGAAACTTCCTGTTGAGAAGACATTCATTAAATCCATTTGTGGACACTTTTTGTGTAGCACTATCAAATTATTAAAATGTTTAATTTTGATTAATCGTTAAATTTCAATAATTCAAATTGTTAGGCTTTTATTTTGAAGTTTTGTACTGTCTTAAGCTGAGAGTACTTCACTTGCTGTGTGCTTTTATTCTGAAATACAGTAAGGCCCTTCTGGCAGATGAAGTTAAGCACAGAAACAGGAAGTGGTTAGGGATCCCAAAGTGACCTCAAACAGCTCAAAGGAACGGTAACGCAGGTCAATGTGTGATGTCATAAGGTGGATATTACTTTGGACTCGTCAGCTGAGCTGTCTGAGAGTTTGTTTAAGTTAAAGTAAGTTAATTAAATTAATTAACATTTAAAGATGCAGCAGTGTCCTTCTTTTACATCACTAAGACTACAGGGAGATACTGAGGACGAGTATCTACAGAGGGCCTGAAGGGACAAAATAGCACAAGGTTAATCGTGGTTGAGCTTGTCTCTGTTTCTGGAGGTTTTGTTTTTGCTGAGTCGGGAATTTACAAAGACGAGAGTTCTCCTCGGAGACAAACCGAGTCTTACTTTGCAACTCGTTTCTCCACTCCCGCATATCTCATGATCCTCATCAGGCCGGCACGAGTACCAAGAAAGGCTGTCTCAATCCCAGGCTCCACCCTGCACACACACACACAAACACACACATGATTATACATGGTTAGGGACGAGCTGTTCAAAAGTAGGATCATAATGGGGCACCAGGGGCGTGTCCCTTTTCTAAAATAAACTAAACAGTTTATTAAACTTCATTGAACTTAAGATTTATATTTGTGGGTGAACTGTCCCTTTAAGGAGTCACATGCAGCTGAATAAGTAGCGTCTCACGTTTCTCTCAGCATCAGGGCGTTCCAGTAGGCCTCCAGTGGAGCCGTCACCACGGCGTCAAACAGCGTCTGCTGCAGCAACACCTCGTCACCTAGGCAACGGACAGGCTCGGTCACACAAAGATTCATTTTTACAGTCACACACTCATCGGTCTGAACGAACCTCTTCAAAGATTTTGTTCTTGTGCTTGTTATTAAAAAACTGTCATCAAAGAAGACTTTTTAAACTGAGATAGAAATTAGAAAATGTATTCCATAAAGGGTTGAAGGACTTACACTCGAGGTCGGGTTCCTTCCCCAGCAGGTAGCGGATGGCGGCCTGAAGCTGGGAGTATTTCCTGTGGGCGGGATCGATGTCGGTCTCACAGTATGTCCTGAGGGGAGAAGGTTTTTTAATCAGGATCTATAAATAGACAGAATCTTGCCTGACCGCTGCGGACTGCTTAACATAAATGAAAACAAGATGAGGATGCTCTCATGTTTCTTAAATGAAGAATGTGAGACTTTTTGATCCAGTAGATGTAGCCCTTGAGCACCAGCATGAAACTTAAACAAACTGCTGTTTGGCGACACCTCCTCCATACTGAAGCCTCCGCTCTCCTCCAGAGACACAACTCTAACAACCCTCCACTCCCGGTCACACAAAGGAGTTTAGCGCAAGCAGCTCGGCTCGAGTTGCAATCCCCTGTGTTCTGCATTGTTGTGTTAGCATGCTAATGTTAGCGCTCTTTAGTTTATATTGCACGTAAATTAACACATAACGAGTGTGATCTAAAAACTCTTACTAACATCCAAATAATCAGTGAGTATGTTCTTCTTCTCTCTAGTTCTTGACTAAAACAGCTTTTATACACAAGGGGAGGAGCCGGCCGTCCCGTCCATGTAAACACGACTCTGACAACAACACAGCCAGCGGGACTCGAGCTTCTCACTCATTGTAGATGTCTCACTTGATGTCTGAACCTGCTTTTGAGCATTAATTGTTGAAGGCAACATAAGCTACACATGAACTCCTGAAAGTTTCCAGAGAATTTCAGGACATTCTTCAATAAGAGTCCATGTTTTAAAAAGAGGGTGTATAGTTTGGGATGTACCACTCGGTGGCGATGCTGAGGTCTGGAGAGGTGAGATCATGCAGGCCTGCAGAGGGAGGAACAAAAAAGGTAAGTCAATCTTAATCAACACATTTCAGTCAGTTAAACACTTTGTAAAGAAAACACTCTGATTTCAGTTATTCATATTTGGAGGTATGGCTTTGTTTTGGGAGAGAAGCAGCAAAAACCCAGAACAGAGCAGGCATCAAGGAAACCTTCATATTTATTGAGTGCTGTTCGACTCATCATGTTTCTTTTGGCTGAGCAAGTTGAATTGTTGTCTGAATTCTAACCAACCACAGCTTCAGACACAGCAGCGGGTTTACGGTCTTTACTGCAGGGGATTGTGGGAAATCCTACCTTCCTCCACTGACACATTTCCCATAAACGTGAGCCTCCCGTGGCCATTCGACAGCACCATGCCGAAGCTGCAGAGACACAGACAGAGAGATGAGGATGGTGAAACCTCTGCACAGCGAGTGGACTGGAGACGGTGTGAAATGCTGCCCTCTAGTGGCTAAATCACAGAGATGCAACTGAATTCATCAAAAGTGAAAGATCAGCACAGTTGCAGAAAAAAATGGCTTTAAAATTTTTTATTTATTAAATGAGGCTTTTTTTGGGGTTCCATCAAATAAATCTGGGTCATCTTTACACCTCCTCGTCTCGGTCAGACTTTCTACAACATGAATATTTTAAAATCACAGCTGAGGAGCATTTTAGTCTGTCTGAAGTCGACCTGTGATTTCAGTTTGTGTTGCCGTGTCTTTTCTCATATAACATACAACAAAGAGCAACAAAGCAGTGTCAGTCATACTCCAGAGTACACAGCCAGCGCTTTTCTGCCCCATAAAAAACATTAGGTGTATACAGCGCCTTAAGAGTTTTTCAAAAGCTCCTTTAAATCAGCTCAAAGGGGCAGGAGATTAAAAGAAAAAAACGGATTTACCTGAAAGGTGTCTCATCGATGTTTGTGAAGAAGTAGTCGTTGGTGAGGTACAGAGGTCGTTTCTGAAGGAGAAGAAGAAAAACATCAATGTGATCCGTCACTGAATGGATGGTAGAGGCTGCTATGTAAAGTGACCGTCACTAGTAACTAATCCCATTCAAACAGGTTCAGTGTCTTGCCCAAAGACACATCACACATGTTGCTTTAGGAGCTGGGGGTCAAACCCTGGATCTCCAGTTGAGAGACAAACGACTCTACCACTGAGCCACAGCCGTTGTGTGAAATACAACACAATTTAAGTTTTCTTCGATAGCACTTTAATTTCTCTTTCACATTTTTTAACTCTTTATGTGAAAATCGAAACATGTTAGGATTGAAGGATTCAGCTTAAAAGAGTTAATCTTGAGCTTCTTTCCTTTTTTTAGACAGAACAGTAGATGTGAATGAGACGCGAGGGAAGGAGCTGCAGGTCGGTGATGTAGTGTGAAGATGTAAACTGGTTTGATTCCTCACCCCTTTATCGACGGACGCTCTGACGTTCAGGCTGATGGTGCCGGTCTCTCCCCTCACCATTGCCGTCCTCAGCTGAACAAACGAGACAAAAACAAGTTCATCATTAAGTTAGACAATAAAATATTTGATTCTGTGAACGGTTACAGTATCAGTAGAAATGTCTGATTTATATAGACTTGGAGATATGCTTATTATGAACACCAATATTTTCCACAGAGGGCGTTCAGTCCCCTTAATGCTCAGTCATATCAGTACCGGCGTGTGTGTGTGTATGTGTGTGTGTGTGTGTGTGTGTGTGTGTGTGTGTGTGTGTGTGTGTGTGTGTGTGTGTGTGTGTGTGTGTTGTTACCTTCTCCTCTGTATCCTCCCACTCCACCTCAGACAGATCCACACTGTTGTAGTTCGGCTTTGGTTTCAGTTTCTTCCCATCTTTATACTATTGGACAGAGGACACACTGTTACTGAGTATGTGAGTGTGTGTGTGTTTGTGTGTGTGTTTGTGTGTGTGTGTGTGTGTGTGTGTGTGTGTGTGTGTGTGTGTGTGTGTGTGTGTGTGTGTCTGAGATGTGAATCACGGTAACACTTCAGACCTCTTTCTCTAAACACAAGGTTCATTACTTTAGCATCTCAGCCTTTAAATGGAGACAAAGAGAATCTGAGCTGCTGCTGCGACTCTCCTAGATGAAGAAGAACTCACCAGAGGTCGAAGGTCAGGGTGAGCCAGGATGTAGCCGTTGTTTGTGATGAGGAAGGCGTAACCA